GACAATTGACGCGTACTTTTGTATTCGCAATATAATTCGCGTACGTACGCGTGCGAGTGAACGCAACGCGCCGAGCCAATTTGACGCAGACCGCGGAAAAAATAAGAAAGAAACATTACCGAAGACAAGAATTCAACTTGAACATAAACAAACTCTTTTGTCTCTCTTGCTCGCTCGCGCGCGCTCTCCCGGACACTGTGCACATTTGTGATTTGGTCTCGCTCTTCCCTCTTCAGGTGTCGCACAGCGGGAGAGATATCGCTTCCCTTTGCTTCTCCTTCGTCGTGCTACCGTCAGGTCTCTCTCTCTCTCTCTCTCTCTCTGTCTCTCTCGACTTCGTTTGTGATTTGGTCTCACTCTTCCCTCTTCAGGTGTCGCGCAGCGTGAGAAATATCGCTTTCCCCTGCTTCTTCTTCTTCGTGCTGCCATCAGGTCTCTCTCTCGACACTTCTGTGAATGTGAATATGAGCGACGATTATTGGTTTACGAATTCTGGGCATTTCGATTATTTCAAGTCTTTTCCCTCATTTTTGCAATCGTGTTGTTTCTGAGTGGTCAGTTGCAATTTTAGATACTCTTTATTCTCTTCAGGAACCAATCTAGTGTATAGGGCTGGAGTATACTCTGTTCAATGTCAGTTGCCTCGTATTTCGGTGCAGGGTTTGATATTGCTGTACATAGGGTTTCCCTCTTCTTTTGTGTACATAGATAGGCTGAGGAAGCAGACATGCCCAGACAGGGAGATCCATTTTGGGAATATGTAGAGCTTCTTCCGGATGGCAAATTTAAGTGCCAGTATTGCGGCAAAAAATTTGCCAGTAACCTTCAAAGGGTTAAATGGCATTTATCTAGAACTAGAGGGGGTGGTGTAGACATTTGCAGCCAGGTACCGGAAGATGTTCGACTTGCCGCTGCTGAAGCAATTCCTCCCAAGCAATTCCTCCCCCTAATAAGAGAGCCAGGGGTGAAGGCTGTTCAGGTAAGACTCAAGAGACTTCGGCCAAAATGGTCATGAGTAAGGATGGGGTTTTCCTGGATAAATTGCTCTCTAAGTTGGTCCTGTTGAATGACATCGACATCGATATTGTTCGGAGGTCGTCTTTCATTGAGTTTGTGAATGCTGTGGCTGAACACGGTTCCCATTATAAGTTGCCACGCTATTCTGTAGTCAAGACAAAGTTAGTGCCCGATTTGGTTAAGGAAATTGGAGAGCATGTGGAAAATGTGAAGAAATCATGGGACACAACCGGCTGCACGCTCGTCTTATATTTGGTGCGATAAGGAGAGATCCTTCGTTAATATCTTTGCCCATTCTATTGACGGGATGATACTATTGAATGCCCTGGATATCCCCATTGATGATGAGTTAACAAGCGGTTTGCTGTGGGAGATTGTATATTTTGTCACTGAAAGAATAGGAGCCAACCATGTCCTGCAGTACATATCCAACAGTGCTCTAGGAGAAGGATTATTTGAAATTTTGCTCAATGACAACCACCCCCGCATCTACGAAACTCATTGTGTTGCTCGCGAAATACATCTGCTCTTGGAGGATATTTACAATGATGTTGAATGGGTAAGAAAGGCATTCGATCGAGCAAGAGCTGTTGTTCACAGGCATGGTGCCATCTTAACATCAACGAACCCGTTCGCAAAAAACTGGGATTTGGAACAATCATCCTCAGAAAATTGTGCTCAAACTATTACATGCTCCAATCGATCATGGGGGTTGAAAGTGAGCTGCGATCTCTTGTTTCATCATCGGAGTGGCTTTCGTTGAGTTTTGAGGAGGATGAATTAGGCGTAGAAGTGGGTGAAATCATTCGCAGTTCAGAGTTTTGGATTGAAGGGAAAGAAGTCTTGCATGCTCTAAAATCGATATTTCAAGTACTTCGTCTAGTTGATAGCTATGGCGCTACTTCTGGGTTCTTGTATGCAGCCGTGGAAATGGCGGATGAGGCTATTAGACAAATATATAAGACTAATGTACATAAGCATCAGAGGTTATGAGAGATTTTCAAGCCATGGCAGGGTAAAATCATTCATCCAGTGCATGCTGCTGCAGCTTTTCTTAACCCTGCTTACATGTGTAGCGAGAAGTTTATACTGAAACAGGCAATGAAACAGGGGATTGATTTCATATTGGAAAGTTTGGTAGGTGTTGAAGAAAGGGAAAAATTTATGGAGGAAGTGCATCTCTACCGTAACAGAGAGCCAAAGTTGTTCACTTGTACAGCAATGACAATGCTACAAACTTCTCACCCTTGTAGGCATCTATTCTTTAAACCAATTAACCGCATTGATTTAATTTCACATTTTATTCGTTTTCGATGTGTGAATTGCATGTTGATAGTTGTTTCGTGCATAGGTGACTGGTGGGACTATTGCGGTGATGTCCTTCCTGTTTTAAGGAAGTATGCAATTCGAATTCTAAGCCAACCCTGCAGTACTTCGTCCTGCAGGCAGAGTTTGAGTGCATTCGAAACTGCTCAAATTAAGAAGAGGAGTAGGAGTGGCCATGCCGATTCAATCTCTTTCTCGCACAAAGGACAGATATACAGATCTCCGTCAAGGCAAGAAGTACCAACAACCGAAACTGCATCACTTACTCAGCTGCAAGCAGCTTCTCGGGCATCACCGAAGCTCCTGCTCATCACGGGAGATGCATTCCCAATTTGGCAATGTGGGCTTAACGACAATCGTGTCTCTCTGAATACCATTGATGGCTCTCTGAATTTCATTATGGAGTGGGTGGCAGTAGCTGCAAGTAGCAAGAATCTTGGTGACAATGTTTTCTTTGATTCTAAGGAGCCATACAGCATGTCAATATCCGACAAGAAACAACACAACTATGGACATGTTCACGGTCTAAGGATGAAGGAGGAATGCGGAAACATAGAGTACAGGTGATTGTGCAGGCAAAAATCCTTACACTTCTCACATATTCTTCCATGGAAGGTGTCAGAGCATCATCAGCATCTTCACATGCATTAATCGGATTCCAGATTCCGTCCCCACAAATATTTGGATCATCCCTCCTGACTGTGAATACATAGCAAAAAAGTGCTCAGGAAAATTGCTTACTGATCAATCAAATGATTGGACACTATTACTCATATATCTAGTTGCTTTGTATGCATAAAAAAAGTAACTGGATAAGGCAACGGTTGCAGTGTTTAAATATCAACCGCACATTCATCAAACAACTTAATGCCAAGTGTCTAAACTTAAATGACCTACCATCTTCGACAGCAAAGGCATTAGATGTGCCCTCATGGACACGGATTCCTTCACAATAACCCGATGCAGCTTTGACTCCAAGCCTGAATTTTTGACTTCTTGTCCAGCTTGATACGTCGTTAAAAGTGATAGCACCCAATGCCCCCATGCCTTTATCGAGGATTACAGAAAGATCACCGGTCAAGAGTGGCATCTTCCCCTCTCGCCCCATTATTTCATTACTCCCAAAGAACTCTCTAGTCCAATTTTGACCAGTTTCCTCATCAAAGTCGCCTCCAATCACCGTCACCATCAACTTTAGTACCGACGAGGGTCCAGATAGCACAACACTGCCTGTACTGGAATCTACCAAGATGACATGAATGGGGGTTCCTCTCTCACTCTTAACCTCATTACCTGTAAGTAGGCTCGTTGGTAGTTTAGTTATAAAATGAAGACGTAAATCCTTTTCACTCTCACCGTCATTCCTCGCCGATGCGGACCTGTCAGTAGAAATATGAATTTAACGATTTACCAAGAGAAATCTGCACGGCATAAGATAGAGCACGGTACACCCATTATGAGGACAGCCTTCTTGCCAACAGCAGCGTCATACAAAGGAAGAGAATGCTGAGAACCAAATCCAACCTATGAAATCGCTCTAGTAGGTCATTCACATTACCATAACAATCGGAATCAATTGACGATCAAAACCTACGGCCATTTAGCAATAACTAGCTTGAACACTATTAAAGGGTATAATGGTCTTTGGGATTTTGATGTGTATATATACCGTATTTTCTGATCAATAAAATACACATCATTATTCTACTTACATGGTATCAGAGCCTAAACCCTAAAATTACCGTCGTCCACCGCCAACCACCGTAGAACCCAAGACCGGCAACCTCATACAAGGCCGGCGACCTCATCCCGGCGTCCCGGCGAAGCGTCGGCGACCCGGCGAAGCGCCGGTGAACCAGATCTGAGGTCGCCCAGGCCTGGCGAAGCGCCGGCGAGCCAGACCCAAGCCTCGCGAAGCGTCGGTGAACCAGATCTGAGGTCGCCCAGGCCCGGCGAAGCGCCAGCGAGCCAGATCTGAGGTCGCCCAGGCCCGGCGAAGCCATTTCCGGCGCCGATTTAAGTCCTCCAGGCGTCGATCGAAGGTTTCCAGGCCAGGCGACCCACTTCGACGTCTTCTGACGTCACTAAGTGAGGAGTTTGACTTGGTTGCTGATATGCTTGCGGGAAGGGAGATTATCGCTGTGTATGTTGGTTTGGATGATTGGATGTGATGTTGGTTTGGCTAATTGGCTGATTACGTGTAGTGCTATACATGTAGATTGAGAGACGGGGGGCTGAGAACTGTTGCGTATAATTACTGGTACTGAGCTGATGTGTTGATTGGTTCGGATTTGGTCGATCATTTTGAAGTTGTTGTGATAGGTTGTGGAGTTTTGTTTCTGGTTTAGTGTGAGTGATTATGGCAGATAAGAACAAAGGAGTATTGACTGAAGTCGTATCTACATCTTCTAATCGTTTGACTGAGGAAAAATTAGCTAGGATCACCAACTTTCAGCATTGGAAGAGAATTGTGGTGATAGTATTGACCGGAAGAGAGCAAAATCACCATTTGACAGGTGCACGAACTGCTGCTGATACTAAATGGGATACCATGGATGCCAGAATTCTTGGGCAAATGTGGAATTCTATGGAATCTCACGTGGCTGCCTTAGTTACACATGCCACTACTGTTAAGGATTTATGGGATTACTTGAATGTCCTTTATTCTGGGGAAAATAATCTCTCAAGGATCTATGAAATCTCCCAAGATTTCTTTAGAGCTGACAAAAAGAATCGGTCTCTTACTCAATTTTTTGCTGATTTTAAACAAATGTATGAGGAGTTTAATCATCTTTTGCCAATTACCTCTGATGTTAAGACGATGCAGGAGCAACGAGAACAATTGGCTGTTATGGGATTTTTGGGAGCACTTGGACCAGAGTTCAATGTAGTTCGTTCACAAATTCTTGGGGGAAATACTGTGCCTTCACTAACGGAGACCTTTTCTCGGGTCTTAAGGGTTTCACGTGAGTCATCTAAGGATATATCCCCCACAGGTGATAGTTCTGCCTTGGCAGTCCAAGGAAATCGAGGTGGTGGTCAAGGTCGTGGTGGTGGTCGTAGTGGCCGTGGCTTTAATAGTGGTGGTAGTGGCCGTGGGTTCAATAGAGGCCAATCACAGTCATACGGTAGCATCTCTAGTGACAAAGGGAGTAATACCGGACTTGCACGAACATGTCATTATTGTGGTATGCCTGGACATATTCAGCGTTTTTGCTATAAGCTTCATGGAAAGCCCCCTCATTCGGCTGTCGCTAATGTAGCCCATGCAGTAGAGTTGGGTGTTTCTTCGTAGTCTTCTGAAGGAGGAACACTGATTAGAATGTCAGAAGAGGAACTTGCTAGGTACAATCAGTTCCAGATTTCTCAGCCAGTTTCCTCTTCCACAGCTACTTTTGCTCAGACAGGTAATGCAACAGCATGTCTTTCATCTACCTCTCGCCCCTGGGTCATTGATTCAGGTGCTACCGATCATATGACTGGATCTTCAGGTATCTTTTCTGTCTTTCACGAGTCTTCGTCTAGTGTTACATTAGCTGATGGCTCTCTGTCCACAATAAAAGGGATAGGCACAGTACCACTGATATCCTCCATATCTTTATCCTCTGTCATGTACCTCCCAAATTTTCCATTTAACCTTATGTCTGTTGGTCATCTTACCAAAGAATATAACTGTTCTATAACCTTCTATCCTGATTCCTGTGTTTTTCAGGATTTGAAGACGAAGAAGACGATTGGTAAAGGACATATGTCAGGGGGACTATATGTGTTTGATAATGCTACCAGTGTAGCTTGTTCAGCAGTTTCTCCACATCAAGTTCACTGTCGCTTGGGACATCCCTCTTTAGCAAGTTTGAAGAAAATTGATTCTCAGTTTCATTCTTTATCTAGTTTCGAGTGTGAGTCGTGTCAGTTTGGAAAATTGCATCGTATTAGTTATAGTCCAAGAGTCAATAAACAGGCTTCTCGGCCGTTTTCTTTAGTTCATTCTGATGTTTGGGGTCCATGTCCTACTGCTTCAAAGTTGGGTTTCAAGTACTTCGTGACTTTTGTAGATGACTATTCAAGAGCCACTTGGCTATATCTAATGAAAAGTCGTTCTGAATTATTCTCTATTTTTTGTGCGTTTGTTAATGAAGTACATACTCAATTTTCTGCTTCTATTTGCATTCTTAGAAGTGATAATGCCAAGGAGTATTTTTCTAGAACATTCTCTGAATTCATGTCCCAACGGGGCATTCTTCATCAATCTTCTTGTTCAGATACACCACAACAAAACGGTGTAGCCGAAAGGAAGAACCGTCACTTGTTAGAAATTACTCGTTGTTTGATGTTTGAAATGAAGGTAGATAAATCCTTTTGGGCTGATGCTGTTATGACAGCATGTTATCTTATCAATCGCATGCCGTCCTCTGTTCTTAAGGGTGCCATTCCTCACTCTCTTCTTTTTCCTTCTGACCCTTTGTTTCATTTGCCACCTCGTATATTTGGTTGTGTTTGTTATATTCGTGACCATCGTCCAGGACTTTCCAAACTTGATCCTCGATCCCTTAAATGCATTTTTGTTGGGTATTCTCGTACACAGAAAGGTTACCGTTGTTATTGTCCTTCTTTGCATAAGTACTTCACCACTGCAGATGTTTCCTTTTTCGAGTCTACTGTCTATTTTGATAATTCGATGGAGACTCCTACAGTGGATGATGATTCCTTAACATATGTTATTATGGAATCAACACCCACTTCGGACTCTCCAGTTATTCCTCCACCTGTCCAGTATGTTTATAGTCGACGTCCTCGTCAGCATGTGGAGCCCCCTGTAGATGTACCTCAGCCTATCTCATCTACTTCGTCTTCTCAACCTGAGGTAAGTCGGTCACATACTGATCTCGATATTCCTATTGCTCATCGCAAAGGAGTTCGTAGTTGTACCAAACACCCTATTGCCCAGTTTGTCTCATATTCTGGTTTATCTGCTTCTTGTCGAGCTAGTCTAATGACCATTGATAATCATCCTATTCCTAAAACTGTTCTTTGAAGCATTATCTAGTCCAGTGGAGGGCGGCTATGGAAGACGAATTACGAGCACTTGGACCAAAATCGAGACTTGGGATCTTGTTCCTTTGCTGGAGGAAAACAGCCATTGGTTGTAAGTGGGTATATACTGTTAAAGTTAACCCTGATGGTTCTCTTGCTCGTCTCAAAGCTAGACTGGTTGCTAAAGGGTTTGCACAGGCTTATGGGGTTGATTATGATGATACTTTTTCTCCGGTGGCTAAGATGACCTCCGTTCGTCTTTTGTTTTCTTTGGCTGCGTCTGCTTGTTGGCCTCTATTTCAACTCGATGTAAAAAATGCCTTTCTTCATGGAGATTTACAGGAAGAGGTGTATATAGAGCAACCACCAGGGTTTGTTGCTCGGGGGAGTCCGGTCATGTTTGTCGCTTAAACAAATCTTTATATGGCACAAAAGGTCTCCCGAGCCTGGTTTGGGAAGTTTACTGAGGTGGTACTCCAGTTTGGGTTGTGTAGATGTACTGGAGATTATTCTATGTTTTATCGAGTTTCTGGAGCTGGTCGGATATTCCTTGTAGTTTATGTGGATGATATTGTCATAACTGGAGATGATTCTACAGGGATTAAAGAGTTGAAAAGGTATTTGCAACAGCAGTTTCATACAAAGGATTTGGGTCTTCTTAGATATTTTCTGGGTATCGAAGTAGCACGGGCGAAGAAAGGTATTTATATCTCACAACGAAAATATGTTCTGGATTTGCTTACAGAGACAGGTATGCTAGGTGCTAAACCACTGGATACACCAATGGAAGTGGGCTCTAAATTGACAGCAGAAGATGGTGAGCTGTTGGATGATCCGCAGAGGTATCGAAGACTTGTTGGAAAGCTAAATTATCTGACTATCACTCGACCTGATGTTTCTTTTCCAGTGAGTGTTGTGAGTCAGTTTATGTCTTCTCCCCGTACCTCACATTGGGCTGCTGTAATCAAAATTTTGAGATACTTGAAGAAAGCTCCCGGTCGTGGTCTCATTTATCAGGATCATGGTCACAGAAGGGTGGAAGCCTTCTCAGATGCTGATTGGGCAGGATCTCCTATAGATAGGAGGTCTACATCAGGGTATTGTACCTTTGTAGGAGGAAACCTAGTATCTTGGAAGAGTAAGAAGCAAAGTGTTGTGGCTAGATCAAGTGCAGAATCAGAATACAGAGCTATGGCTCAAGCTACCTGTGAGCTAGTTTGGATGCGTCAATTGTTAGTTGAACTTGGATTTGAAGACCCTGCACCAATGGAGTTGTGGTGTGATAATCGAGCAGCCGTCCATATTGCCTCAAATCCAGTTTTCCATGAGCGTACCAAGCATATCGAAGTTGATTGCCACTTTGTCCGTGAGAAACTTCAAGCTAGAGTTATTTCTACTAGTCATGTTAGGACTGGTGAACAACTAGCTGATATTTTTACCAAATCTCTAGGGGGAAGTAGGATTGAGTATATTTGTAACAAGCTGGGCATGCTTGATATCCATGCTCCAGCTTGAGGGGGAGTGTTAAAGGGTATAATGGTCTTTCGGATTTTGATGTGTATATATACCGTATTTTCTGATCAATAAAATACACATCATTATTCTACTTACAAACACATTGATTTCACTTAGATCTATTAAAGTATGGAAAACAAACACAGATACTAACAGTTATGATCAAAAGAGATGATGCCGTCCCTGCCTGTCATCCATACAGACATAGGCTTGGAAGGACTTCACTAATCCAAACAGAGTTGCAAATAAACTTAAGGCAAGTTCTTGTGGAAGATCAATAAAGAAAAAGACAAGCAAAAACATGTCTCAGTGACATTATCATTCACTACTGTCATATTTGATTCTAACTCTAGTAAATCATGCCACGTTGTGGTTGACAAATCAGCTTGGCATGCTTTTAAGTCGCAATCATCTCTAAAGTGTCCCAACAGAGATTCTTACCAACAATTTATCTGAACTTTGGTCTCATTCAATAGATCACGAGTAAAATTGTCATTGACAAACTCTGTGCAATCAGGAAGTTCATCGAGTTTCTCAAGATCAGGTGGCTTCCTAATTTTTCCTTTCATTGCATTGAAATTCTCCATCAGTAATGCATTTGTCCTCCAATATAGATAATTGTCCTTCAGTGCAGGCATCAGCGGCTTCCTCTTCTTAATTTGAGCAGTTTCGAATGCACTCAAACTCTGCCTGCAGGACGAAGTACTGCAGGGTTGGCTTAGAATTCGAATTGCATACTTCCTTAAAACAGGAAGGACATCACCGCAATAGTCCCACCAGTCACCTATGCACGAAACAACTATCAACATGCAATTCACACATCGAAAACGAATAAAATGTGAAATTAAATCAATGCGGTTAATTGGTTTAAAGAATAGATGCCGACAAGGGTGAGAAGTTTGTAGCATTGTCATTGCTGTACAAGTGAACAACTTTGGCTCTCTGTTACGGTAGAGATGCACTTCCTCCATAAATTTTTCCCTTTCTTCAACACCTACCAAACTTTCCAATATGAAATCAATCCCCTATTTCATTGCCTGTTTCAGTATAAACTTCTCGCTACACATGTAAGCAGGGTTAAGAAAAGCTGCAGCAGCATGCACTGGATGAATGATTTTACCCTGCCATGGCTTGAAAATCTCTCATAACCTCTGATGCTTATGTACATTAGTCTCATATATTTGTCTAATAGCCTCATCCGCCATTTCCACGGCTGCATACAAGAACCCAGAAGTAGCGCCATAGCTATCAACTAGACGAAGTACTTGAAATATCGATTTTAGAGCATGCAAGACTTCTTTCCCTTCAATCCAAAACTCAAAACTGCGAATGATTTCACCCACTTCTACACCTAATTCATCCTCCTCAAAACTCAACGAAAGCCACTCCGATGATGAAACAAGCGATCGCAGCTCACTTTCAACCCCCATGATCGATTGGAGCATGTAATAGTTTGAGCACAATTTTCTGAGGATGATTGTTCCAAATCCCAGTTTTTTGCGAACGGGTTCGTTGATGTTAAGATGGCACCATGCCTGTGAACAACAGCTCTTGCTCGATCGAATGCCTTTCTTACCCATTCAACATCATTGTAAATACCTCCAAGAGCAGATGTATTTCGCGAGCAACACAATGAGTCTCGTAGACGCGGGGGTGGTTGTCATTGAGCAAAATTTCAAATAATCCTTCTCCTAGAGCACTGTTGGATATGTACTGCAGGACATGGTTGGCTCCTATTCTTTCAGTGACAAAATATACAATCTCCCACAGCAAACCGCTTGTTAACTCATCATCAATGGGGATATCCAGGGCATTCAATAGTATCATCCCGTCAATAGAATGGGCAAAGATATTAACGAAGGATCTCTCCTTATCGCACCAAATATAAGACGAGCGTGCAGCCGGTTGTGTCCCATGATTTCTTCACATTTTCCACATGCTCTCCAATTTCCTTAACCAAATCGGGCACTAACTTTGTCTTGACTACATAATAGCGTGGCAACTTATAATGGGAACCGTGTTTAGCCACAGCATTCACAAATGAAAGACGACCTCCGAACAATATCGATGTCGATGTCATTCAACAGGACCAACTTAGAGAGCAATTTATCCAGGAAAACCCCATCCTTACTCATGACCATTTTGGCCGAAGTCTCTTGAGTCTTACCTGAACAGCCTTCACCCCTGGCTCTCTTATTAGGGGGAGGAATTGCTTCAGCAGCGGCAAGTCGAACATCTTCCGGTACCTGACTGCAAATGTCTACACCACCCCCTCTAGTTCTAGATAAATGCCATTTAACCCTTTGAAGGTTACTGGCAAATTTTTTGCCGCAATACTGGCACTTAAATTTGCCATCCGGAAGAAGCTCTACATATTCCCGAAATGGATCTCCCTGTCTGGGCATGTCTGCTTCCTCAGCCTATCTATGTACACAAAAGAAGAGGGAAACCCTATGTATAGCAATATCAAACCCTGCACCGAAATACGAGGCAACTGACATTGAACAGAGTATACTCCAGCCCTATACACTAGATTGGTTCTTGAAGACAATAAAGAGTCT